CATCGGGGCGATGGGTGCTGATAGAATGAGGTGTTCCCCGAGCCTCTCTTCACCTGGACGCGGGTCGGGGGCCGCCTGTTGGATGGCAGCAGTGAGCGAGAGGGGAAGGATCTGATACTAGAGAGAGTGCCAGCCGAGCTCAATGGCTCCATGTATCGCTGCACAGCCCAGAATCCTCTGGGCTCCACAGACACTCACACTCGCCTCATAGTCTTTGGTATGTACGCTCAGCTAAGCAACATGCTCCGGAGTGGCTGACACTTAAACTGAAATTACATTTAAATATTGATTCATTATTTAAAAGATGATGAATATGAAACATTTTTTTCTGACTGTACAGCAAGAATTATCTGGAACGCTTATACAATTACACAGTTAAATGTCACAGAACATTACATAATTCTACAAAATGTATTTCATGTATCTATAATAACATTGAAAAATAATAGATTTATATGACCACTTTTAAGTATGAATCATTAATGCAGCTAAATGTGTTATTAATAAAAGATTGTATCCCCATTTGGCTTAACAACACGTTCTTTCTAAGGCTTCTCTTAGTGAGGCAGCTGTTCTCTAGCAGGACAGTTAGTGACTGTTCATTAGTGGCACATCCTGCTCTGCTCTGGCATCAAAGGCCCATGATGGAATCAAATGACCTTTGTTGCTGACAGTGTTAAAAAAGCACTTTGTTCACTGGCCAAACCAATGTAACATGTTCATCAGAAACTGGAAGTTGTTCATTTGCTGGTGTTGATGTGGGAGCTGAACTGTTTACAGGCTCTGTTATATCTGTGTGTCCTGCTCCTCTGGATCTGTTTACCCCGGGCACTCTGGAGCTGGGATCTGCGTCCGAGGGCTTCTTCAGAAATCTCTGAAGGGGGTTCTAATGGAATAGGTTCTACTGTAGCTAAGTGCTTGTTAGCTTCTTCTGCACTGTTAAGACATGATGGAAATTTGACATGTTGGTCGCATGGTTGATTTAGAGCCCCAACAAAATGCCAAATATGCTGATATATTTGTATAAATTAGGCAACAGATTCCTCCACTAATTCTCTTTTCTCCAGATGATCCTTAATTAAATGACAAGAAATTGACTACAAAAGAGGCTTTCACATGATGCAGCCTGTGAGAAAACTGAACACGTTTTCCTTGATGTCATAATTTTTGCACCACTGTCCCTCAGCAGTGCTGCCAATCCCTCCTGCATACCAGATGCTAACTATTGTGCAAGCTCTGCACCTCCATCAATAATGGCTCTGTCATGTTTGCAGAGAAACATTAGAAAACCTTTAAAAAACATCACTATAGATGGATATAGCCAGCAGTCTTACTCAGTCCTCATCTGAAGACGGCTTTTGACACTTGCGCTATACAGACGGCAAGTCATGTAGGAGAAACAGGAGAAGAAGTGTGTGTGTGTGTGTGATGTTCACACACACACTTCAGCCCTGGAGAGCCCCATTAACGTAAATCAGGTCGACACCATTTTCATGCTTCATCGACTCTGAAACAAAGAATATTGTATCTATCATTTTCTAGAAATCCTCCTGCCTCCAACACTTCTGTGAACAGCTAATGTCACAAATGTACAAATTACTGGGCAGGTCTAATAAGAACCCACTTTTAAGGGAGAAAGTGCCACTTTAGGGAGGCGTTACCTTGGGAGGTGTTTTGCTAGGAAGAACACTAATGTCTGTTTAACACCCTGATGCACCCTCAGGTGTTATCGGCTACGTGCCTATTTGGCCCATCTGTCTGCACGCTCCTTGTAGACTGCTTCCACTCATGCTTAGGGGAAGTAAATGGTGATTAAGTGACCTTGGCGCTGTCACCCATGGCCTTGAGATTAGATGCTTCTCTCTCTGCCGGGGGCAAAATAAGAAGTGTCTGGGGCTCTGCTTGCTTGGCAAAGTGTTCAGTGTACATCATAAGGAATAAAAGAGTGTAATGACCGCTTGGTATAGAGACTCTCCACTGATGACGAGCAAACGCTTCCGTCTTGATTATGTCCATCTTTGGCTACCCTCAGTGATAATACCCTCTGAGATTACGGTGAAGTGAGTCATCACTGTGTAGTTGCACAGTGACACAAACTCCAGTGGGCACCCAAACTACACACACATGCAGAAACTAATAGATATGTATGCTTAGGAAAATCTGCAAGGGGAGGCAACGCAAGCATGCATGTGAAAAGTGCACACACTAATTTCTCTTTGTTCTCAGAGGAGCTGCTATGTTATTGTGGTTGCAGTGAGACCAGGAAGTCTCACATTGTGCTGTACATGTAGCTTCAACCTGCTCATATGTGAAGTCGAACATCCAAAAATAGCTCACAAAGTGGAATTTAGGGGTGTTGCTAATACTCTGCGAGCTCTCCCGCTTCTACCCTTGCAATTACTTTATTCCTTTGAGAACTTTAGAAACGCACTGTCAGAGTGTATTGTGCAGGGTAGACATTGGCGCTACTTATTAAAGGTGGAGTCAATTTCTCCAAACCTTTTTCCCCATCTGCCCAGCCACAGGTGTAGCTGCCTGGTCTCACTGCTGCTAAAAGTGTCCTGGTTGTTCTGGTGCAGAGCTCTGTGTTCCCAGTTCCATTAACAGGCGCTGCCTTTCTCACAGGGGATGTGCCATTTAACATGTGCATCAGCAACTGTGGAGCTCAGCATCATTAGAAACCCACAACCTCTGTTAGAGAAGACTGTTTTTCTCTTTCTCTCCACCCTTCTCATTCTCTTTATTAATTTCCTCCTTCATTTACTGACTCACTTGCTGTCTCAGCAATAACTCCAGTGTTTGATTGTCTCACTGCTGATCTTACTCCTTTGTTTCCAACAGAAAACCCAAGCATGATGAAAAACACACAGAATCAGAACAGTAAGTATCTAGCCAGAGAACTAGCTAGCTTTGACTGTCTGTGTTTTAATGCACCTCATGATTCTTGCTGTGTCACTTGATCATCATGTGTCCAGAGTATGTAGTATGCTACACTGCAATCTATTCAGTCAGGATGTGTGCAAAAACCTGTCACTGATGAGAGAAGCTAATTCATTTTGAGCCTGTGGTTACAACATTCAAAGTATGGACAGGTGGATGTTTCTCATTCTGTCCTGAATGCGTTGCCCCAGATAGGCTGCGTGAGAGCGATTCACTCAGGATTAATCTTTGCCGGCGTTCAGCAGCACCAAGCAGCGAGCCTCTTCCAGTGACTAACTGGGCCTGTCAGTTTGGGTTGAGTGTGAGATTATTGGTGTTTCATATGTGCAGTGGTGCCTCATTTGCGCCTTCTGAGATTATCATATGTAAAGATGAGCGATTGTCAGGAGAAGCCGTGGAGCTGTGACAACAACCGTTCTGTCTCTTCCTTTTTTCTGCCACTTTCTCGCTTTCTACTTCAGTCATTGTCTATATTTCCTTCACTCTGGCTTTTCATACTCACTTTGTCTTCTAGCGCCAACACATCTTCTCATCTTTTCTTCTTTCTTTCTCCCTTGGTTAATCCGCCCCCCACCCTCAGCTTCTTAGCTCTTATGGCCAGTGTAGATTATGCTTTAGTAAAAAAAAAAAAATCAATCCTATTTAAAGAGCCAGTTTGTAGCACTGTCACATGGGCTTCTGAAGTGTGAAGTGGTCCAAGACTTACCAAGACTGCAATCAGTGTGAATCTATAGAAACAGCAGAGTTTAGATATAAATCCGGATAATATAGCAGCATATATAGATCAATCCACATAAGCATGCGGATATTAGTGAAAAAGTTCTCTGTTATTCGGCAAGTAATGTGCACTAAATGTAAACCGTAACTACTTTACAATGAAGGAAGGATCAGTAAACCAGTGGTATTGTAATAAATCTTTTGCACTGAGCTGTTGTCGATAAACTGGAAAATGTACAGTATCTGAATGGTATAACTGTGTAGTGTGTAATCCCCAGTGTATGTATGCGATGCCCATGTTTGTTCCAGTGTGAACAGCTTCTCAAGCAGATGGCAAGCAGAGCTGTCTTTAAGCTGAACAGCCCTAGTGAGATGAGATTTATTCAGTCTTAGAGTCTGATGTGGCTTTGCTTTTTTTTTCTCACTTTTACTGTTTCCTACCTCGCAAAAAAATCTAATTATTTGTCTCTCGTCCTCTGCCACACTCAGTGTCTCTGCGGTTTGTTTTCGCCCTCTCTCGTCTACCTTTCCTGTCTGTGTTAGTCGTATCTTAGGGATGCAAATCTAAATATGCAAATGCTATGGTAAGAGCCAGAGCAGGTGTGTCACGGCAAGGACAGAATCAGGTCAGCATGGACGCATGGACCTGCCTTGCATGCAAGTCAAATTAGTATATAACACGGCCCCGAGAGGTCACCACACACACACACACACACACACACACACACACACACACACGGACAAGCCCCATCACTTAATGGCTGAATACTCAACTTCTCACCTGGTGTGAGGGGGAAGGACCATCCTTGTCAGTACGTCAGGGTCATAGTAGATACACAAAAAAAATCCCACTTCCCAGTCGGGGTTATGTTCATTCATCATTCATCCGTCTGAATTTCAATCTCCTAGACAACGTGTCACGCCACATTATTTGGCAGTGAACTAAATTTAAGGGATGAGTGAAACTGGGGACAAACATGTGACATGTTTTCTGCCACATATAAACTGGTAAAAGTGTAAAAAGTTTAGGGTTGGCATCTTACTGTGGGAAATGTGTCATCTTGGCTGATACGGTTGTGCAAAAATAAAGTGAAATTCATTACCACTAACAAAGTCTGAATGAATGGACTTTGCATTCATTCAGTCAGAAGTAACAATACCATAAGAGCCATGGGCGCTAATCTAAGACAGACATGCTACATTTGTCATTTTCAGATGTGCCATGTAAAGTTCTGATTTAAGTCCCTTTCAGAACAGAAGTCAGACTTGTAGGAGTGCAAACAGATGTGTCAGAGCTATAGTCGGAAATATCAAACTGCTTTGTAAAGGCAGCTAATATGACTTAAACTTGCCTGCTCACAACTCAACTGGTATTTTAGGTCCAGGTGTCAGAGATGGAGCAAGTCGCCACAGAAGCAGCAGACAGATAATGATATGATTGTATGAGTCCATTACAGAATAAGATGAAGAACGTATTGAGACAATCCAGTTGTTATTGTCTAATGTTGTATGATTTGCACAAAGTGGAATATGTTATATGGTATATAAAATTAGATTATATAATTCTGTGTAGATTTACATTTATGGGAGTTCTCAGGAAACCTTGACTGTTTAATTTAAACAGTACTGACAGACACAGGACCTTTTTGTTTACAATTCCACTCACAATAATACAACCAGTATTTCTCAGCATGCAGACACTATTTTACATCCAAACTTTCTGGACAGACAGGTCTGACTGCTTATAGATCACATTTTCAATCTAATGAGCCACATCCTGGTGCAGTCAGGCTCACATTGTGTTTGTGTAGCCACCGTCTTGGCACAAAATGGACAAACTGTTGGTTATGTCAGTCCTCTCTGTAAGATATTCATGAAAGAGCAACAGGCAACAGTAGCAGAAAAAAAAGCTGCTGTTTCTGCTCTATAATCTAGATTCTTTGCTGCGGACCTCAGAGCAGCGAGTGTTTTTTATCTGAGGAGTCTTTGGAATGAGGGTGTCTTTGTGCTGGACTACACTTCACCGTATGTCATCATTGTGTGTATTTCAACAGAGAATATTTTCTTTTAAATAATGCATTGTATACAAAGGGTAGTCATAGTGCTGCCAGAACATGACTGCCACCGTGTCACCACACCTTTAGTCCACGAACCCAATGTGACTTCAAGACAAGATTAGCATACAGTGCAAATATGTACATTCACACACTGAGGTTAAATAAACTTAGTGTAAGTCAGTGTTAGGTAATACATGAAGTACAGTTGAGAAAGAAATCCATCTCTCCATGTTTTTCTCCTTTTTGATTCAGTTTGTCTGACCAGCACCTATCTTTTAGGTGTGCATTCATTCTAGGTTGATGCCATACAGCTTATTCAGGAGTAAACAAATGCATTGTGGTTTGCTTTAAAACTACAAATAAAAAAATACTCAATTACTTTACACTAAATAACACTCATTGCATTTGAATAAGGTTAAAGTTTTTCATTTTATTTATTTTTCCTTTCTTTTACCAGGAGGTTCTACTGAGATCACAATCTCACAATAAAGTTGGGGAAATTATTATGTATCACAGGACTGTAGAAATCTGGTGTTGCTAATGTGGTGAATAGAAGACTGAGGTGCACTGAGTTTCTAACTGGTTGTTTCTTTGGTGTCTGTAGATGGAGCCTCCCGCGCAGGTGTGCTTGGACTAACGTGGACGGCACTTGTCCTCACAGTGACCATGGAACTGACATGAAACCTCTCATCCGAGACCGTTGCACAGAAACACACACATACTTGCCCTTCTTACGCCACACACACACAGAAACACACACACACACACACACACACTTTCCACAGTCTTGCAAGCCTTCTCCAGTCATCAACAGACCCTCCATGCGTCAGTTGATCAGGACCACAGGATGGCGCTCCACTGTTTTTCAACCTAAATAATAACCAAGATAATGATATCAAAAGAACAACATGATGAACGTGACGATTACCACCCCCTATATAGCCCCGCCCAGTTGCACCTTTTTTGTTTTGTTTTTTTCCCCTTGTCTGCCAGTTGGTCAACAAAATCTCATGATTTGAAATATAAAAGAAAAAAGCATTTGGATTTTGTTTCGATGAGTCAAAATGTCATCGGTGTTGACTGAAATGTGAAAAGTGGAACTGGCTTAGGCTGTGCCACCATATCAGCCACATCTGTCTGTCACATGTCCTGGGATGCATCTGAATGACAACAAGCTGATAAACCACAGGGGAACAAACACAGATGCTCCAAGAGAACATTCTCTTTTTATTAATATCCAAGTATTCCTTTTTTTCTGATGGCTCGGAATGTACAAGAGGATTTAAATGCATTGCGAAACTAGAAAAAAAAATCTCCTTTTTGAGTGTATTTTGTGTACATCAGTGTAAATATTGAAAATAATTAAAGAAGTTATATGGGTTCTGGGGAGGGATGGTTGCTGAGATATTTGGAGTTTACCCTTCTCCACCTTTGTTTGTACTTCGTTTGACACTGTTTTCAGAGATCATATTTTGGCTGAGAGGACAGAAACATTAACAGCCTTTCTGTTTCTCATTTGGGCTATATGGCAGTTCTCCGAGGACAAAGTAAAAAAAAAAAAAGATCTAACATGTGTCTGCTGTTTTGGGGTTGTGGTGCATGTGACGTTTGCAGATTCTTTCTCCTTTTGGTGTGTTGCAATTGACAGCACTGCAACTCATTGTCACTGGCCTGTAGTCCAGTTATTTACTTGTGACATACTATCTTAAGTGACCTACATTGTGTACAATACGTAACTCTTACTCGGACATTTACAATACTAGTAGGATCATTTTAGCCACCATTCCAGGGAGGTGGTCACCTGAGGCAGTGTGTGTAAACAGGGTTGTTGGATTTGTTTCATTTCACCTGTATTAAAATGGAGAGATGGTAAAACTCACAAGTCTGGAATTTACTTAAAACAGCATGTGTTTGACACTTTTAGTTGTAGATCTGCATGTTAATGCTAGTTACAGTTTCTGAGCCTGCACACTACTGCATGGCTGGATTGTTGCAGGATTGCATACAATCTAATGTGAAGATAATCCTGTTTGACAGGCAGCCTGCCACTGCCAAGAGACAGAAATGTTTGTCTTCTTGCTCAAGTGCAGCCAAGTTCCAAAACTTACTTTGTTTCAGATATTTTTGATTATATTAACATAGCTTTTGAAGGATACTGTGACACTGCCATGAACCCTTTGCAGTTTGTCCTCTCTCATGCAGTGAATCGCAGCTTAACACGGTGTAATCCTGCATTTTTTGGACTTTACAAGAATTGCAATTTAAGCTATTCTAAGGACACAACATGTATTAAGGGATTATGGTTTAAACCAGGTGGGAGGTAAGAGGAAAGATTTTTAAAGCTTAGGTGAACAGAAAGGATGGACTTGTCCGTTCAGGATATCGGCTCACCTTGCCAAAGTACAATCCATATTCCTCCATTCTGCAGATGAGACCTGTGTAGCACAATTATTATTAACAGACAGTCAAATTCACTTTGAATTAATTTATTTCTTGGTGTGTGAAGCAAAGGGCACAAATCCTTGTTCGCCCACTGTATAGCATCTTAACTCCGCTATCATTTCAATTTTGATTCAAGAGGCTCCGCTGTGCTGCTGTGCACGCACTTCACACTCAAGAGATGGAGAACCAGATCCATTCCTGAATCCATAAGAGAACATACAGATTGTCTTTATATGTCTTAATCATCATGCACCATAGCAGTTGCACATGTGTGTGTGTGCATGTACTGTATATGTGTGTTACTAGTAAAGTATGGATGAACACTTTGTGTAACTTAAACTTCATAAAATTAGTTCAGAGCTGTCCTGGACCGAAAGCCAGCAGGGAATAAGTATGACCCACTTTGATTACAACCTTTTTTTTTTTTTTTACCAGCAAAGAAACACTTCTTATTTTAGCCACAGATCTGAAACATTTAGTTGTTCCCCTCAGTGGTAATTGTTCTGCATTATAGGGACATCAATGTGAAAGTGAGCGCATTTATGTGGACCTTTTATGTACACTCATTATGATGCAGTTCTGTTTAGTCTTATTCAGAAGGCTGAAGGGATAAATTTGAGCCACTGCAGCTTTATTGTTTATACTTTTTTTTTTTTCATTAACAAAACTGATGATTCAAGCAATATGATGATCACTGTTTGATTACATACTTGCTTCAGTAATCCCCACAGTTTTTACAGGAACCAGTTAAAAATTACACAAAGTTAAATATTGTTTTGTTTTGTGCCTTCTGTTGCACATATCATTGTTGGCACAAGCCAAGGAGAGGTGAACGGGCCTCAGCACAACAATTTTTCTGGCAATCCTTTGTTTCTTGGTGTTTTGAATAGTCTACCTGAGCTGGGAGCAATGGTGAGGATAAGAAGCTGCCTCTATGGTCCATCTGTGAATTATTCAGGAGTCGACCATGCTTGCAGAATCCAGTTTCCTTTATGTTATCTGCAGGCTCAGCTATCGGATGGCCAAACAGCACCCATGTCAGCCAGGAAACCTGACACACCCTCTGTGTGACTCTCATTATGCACCATTAAAATGATCCACAGAGCGCTATTAAAATAAACACTGTTCTGTTGTTGACCGCAGCTTCACTCAAGTGCATTATCAGCAACACAAATGACAGCCTGACAGCAGCCACTGAATGCCGTGCCGTGTGACAAATGTATGTTCCTATCTCCGTATGAAAATGAATGACACTGTCCACTTTCTTTGTAGACACTCGTTTCATCTGGCTTTCCTCAGATGGTTTTGTATTTTGGTTGTATTCTCCATTCTGTGTGTTTATAATACCAAGTGACTGTCGCTTAGTTGTTCAAGAGCAATTCTCAGCTTCTCTTCAGATAGAGTCATTTTGAAGCATTTGCACTGGAACAGAAAGGGACCTTTGATCTGTGGCATCACTGTGCAAACAGATGTATCCTGGTTGTTAAGTATTTGATAAATGCCACCTATCACCACTCCACACCCCTTATTCAAACTATGTTTTCTTCCTTCATCTCTGGCAATGTGTCTGAGGAAGTTAAGGAGCGTGATCTATCATATTTTGTGGACATTTTCAGAAACTGACATAATAAAGTATGACCTGAACCACTCCTGTTTATGTAAACACTGAGCAAAAGCTGCAAGCAGCAACAACAGGGCTCAAATAAAGTCAGGGTTAGAGTGTGAGCAAGAAGTTATTACTCCCACAGTTCTTACATGGACAGTCATGTGAAAAGCTGGAGCAAGTCAGCAGGTTGCATAAGCAAATATTGATCTATGGGGCATTTACATACTCTCTGTGTGGGTGCTGACTCTGCATTTGACTTGCCACAGGTGATGCATGACCAGAGCTCCGCCTCTACAGAGCCAGGGACACAAATAGCACATCTGCAGGTATCATTTTACACTCAAACCTTTGGGCAAAAAAGCGTAGTCATCAGATCACAGCGGCAGTGAAAGCCAGACAGCATGCGATCATCGGCCGAGACACATTGACAATAACAGTCATTAGGATCTGTCGACCAGCCATCACCACCACTGCTACCAGTATGCCCATTGCGGATCTTGTGGGAGTCCAGTTGGACATGCAGCTGCTAGTGAAACTGAGTTTCTCTGTGGCTACAGTTCTACTCATTTCTTGGGCCTACAGATTCTACAGCTCCAGGAATGCAAAGAAAACCCAGCTCTGTGTCAAAGACAACGAGGAGCCACAAAATGCAGCCCGGCAGGGCCGCAAGACGACACTACGACATCGAAGCTCACCACAACACAACTCCTATGATAAAGGCAGACGAGATTCAGATGACCTGACATCTGACAGCACCAAGCACACGCCAGCAGAAACTCATTCTGAAAACTGTGAGGATGCAGTTAGTATGTCATATGGTGACCAAGAAATCATGAAAGAAGAAAGAGTTTTTTCAAAACAGGCTGCCACCAGTAATATTTCATTTGGATCTGCTTTGAACCTTCCTGATCCAGCAGTGAGTGGGATGACCGGTACCACGGGGCGCCGCTCCCCTTGCTTTTTGCAAAAGCTCGAGGGCAGTGTGGGTGTGGGGAGGGAGTTAAGGCGAGACTTAGAGCGCCAGGGAGCCTGCACCAGCTTCCTCTCTAAGACAGAGATCAAAGTGGGGGATGCTAATGTGATGCTAGATGAAACAGGAGACCAGATTGTGCATGGAAAGATATATGATGTCTTTGTTGAGTCTTCCTCTCATTCTGTTATAGGCACAAACAATGCGCTGGGTCAGTATGAGAGGAACTTTGATCCAGTGGAGTTTGGAAGCCGTGGCAGCAGCTTCACAGAATCTCCTTCCTCTCTTAGCCCCATCATTATGCGTGATTTACCACAAAGAACTGATGAGGATCTCTCCTCTCCAAGGTCCATATTCCTCCGCCAGGAGAGCTATCTGTCTGCAGCACAGCAGTGTGGGCTTTCCATGCCCTTTCTAACTTCAGGAGCCTCAACTCCAATGAATCACTCTCTGGCTTCAACCAGGGATGAGTCCATCTTTGCTGACCCTATGATTAGTCTGACTACAGACAGCAAATGTCTTAATGAGAAGGAGAGAGCTGATCAAGATAAAATGCTTGACAGTGCCGAGTGGGAAAGCTTGAAGAGTAAGCTTGATCTGGGTAACTGTTTGGAGACGCTGCAGCTGGCCAAAAAACATGGCCAGACCTCTGTGCAGCAAGCAGCCCTGGGTGTCATGTCAGACAACTACCTCCAGGTGCTCAAGGAACCTAACCTTTATGGGCGGCTAATGGCAGATGAGCGGGAAGAAATCCAGAGGCAGAGAATGAGAGGAAGAAGGTTTGTCGTGGTGGCAGATATGGACCCTCAAGACTGGGCGGGGGACACAAAAGGGCAGACAACAGAGACAGGGCAGAGGAGGACATCTAGTGCACTGTACTGTTATGATGACTACAAAGACTCCTGGCATAGACTCTGCCTGATCCCACAGGAGGTCATCTCTAAAGCCTGTGCCATGTGCACAATGGATAACTACTTATTTGTGGCAGTGGGCTGCCAAGGCACAAACAGGGAAATGACACCCTCAAAGCAAGTGTTTTCCTACAATCCTTTGACATCCATTTGGAAGGAGATCAGTCCTATGAATGAGGCCAGGCCCCGCTGCAAACTGGCAGCACTGGATGGCTACATCTACGCCATTGGAGGGGAGTGCCTCTCATCAGTGGAACGCTATGACCCACGGCTGGACAGATGGACATTTGTGGCTCCACTGCCTAATGATACATTTGCTATAGCACATCACGTCACAGTGTGCAGTGGAGACCTTTTTGTTTCTGGGGGAACTCTTAAATATATGCTACTGCGCTACAGCCCCAAGACTGACACCTGGAGGCAGAGTGTGTTAGGCAGCAGAGACAGAACTGCAGATATGGTGGGTGTGGGGAGATTCTTGTATCGGTTTGATGTGAACCCCCTGCTGGGGGTCAGCTCATACCGCTACCATACAGTGGCTCGACTGTGGTACGAGTGCAGCTCTATACGGCTTCTGCACTGCCCCGCCTTCCAGTGTGTCGCAATGGATGACACAATCTATTGTGTCAGCCGCCAGTTCACCATAAGGTTCAGGGCTGATGAGATCTCTCCTGCTTTCAGAGATGAGGATTTGAGTGTCCTCTCTGCAGCGAAGGGCATACTTTTCCCCTTTGTCTTTTCCCTCCCTGATAAGAAGCCTCAGCAGACCAGTGTGTAAGGAGGATTCAGGTTTTCCACTGATAAGATTAGGCAGTGATGGAGTGTCCCTATAGAAGCATGCTTTACACCACGTTGATTGTTGACAGAGGGAGGGGGGTTGATTTGCTCAGGTTTATGCTCGACCAAGCCCAAAATGCTATTGCAAAATTGTAACTACTGTGCTGCCATTTCTCTGAGGTATAATTGAGATCACCTTTCCACAAAATGTTTGTTTCTTAAATAACTTTATTTTCTTTTACTGTGTGCTGCACAAAGAAATGTGTGTATTTTATGTCCGAGCACCTGCCAGTAGATGGGTTAGTATTAGACTCTTAATGGTGGTGAAACAACAGTTTGCTTAGATTTACACAGGATGTCCTGCCATGTACACTGCTTATTTCTTTGATTTGCCGCTACTTCCTGCCATTAAGTTACATTATTTCATTCCAGATGCTTGACCTCTTTAGCTGCAAAGATAATTTATAAATAGGTCTTAGAGTAAATGAGTTCATTCAGCTCTAACGCATTACAGAGATTGAGCAATATTGTGATAATCCATCACTGTGCTCCACTGTGTAGGGCACAAATATAACTTGCACAGTGGCCTGGATACAATGCAATTATCTCATATGCTCTTTACATATGATAGTTTGTAAATTGGTATGTCACACAATATTAATAGAAGAGCTTCTAAAAGCATTTGTCACCACTTCTGAGTTTCAGATTTGCAGCATTTTAGTCCTTTTGCTTTGGTGGCCAGAAAGAAGTGTGTTGTTTTCATCTAGACTGAGCAGATTCTTTGTTAAGTGTACCAACTAAATCGCTTTGCTTTGTTAGCTGTTGATATAAACATAAAAAATATTTAAATGTGCCATTCATTGCCTAATAATCCATTAATTAGTGTTTATCCAACTGTATTTTCCAGTAATGTGCGACTGATAACCAGTAATAGGAACATGGGAATAATCTAAACACTTGTGGTCTGTTATGGAAGTGTTGAGAAATTAAATTAACAACAGAAATACGCTGAAGAATGACACAAATATTAAATCCCTCATTGTTTGCTTGTTTATAATCAAGTCTCCCACTGTGCAGACTGTAGAGCTTGACAGGTTTCAGGGAGTGACGTGCTGCTACAGCACCATCATGTGGCTTGGAAAGCAAACACCACAGTGCTTTGGTAAGACGTCAAGCTCCAGACGTCCCACAACACGGAGGTGCCATGTGACACACAGGCATCAGCAGCGCAGTACAGTGATTAACTAACTAACAGTGGGTGAAACAGAGAGGGCTTCAGCTGCACTGGAAGGCAGCAGGCAGGCGGGAAAAAGAGAGGCAGGCGCAGATGGTTGACCATCAAACATAAGCATCTTTGATTCTTCCTAATTAAACACTTTGATTCCCTGTAATTAAACACCTAATGAAATGGGAGTTAGACACGTCCCTTCAGACGGTGCCTTGGATGACTCATGGTTTCCAGTTTGCCTCAATACACAGGTCAGTTCTGGCATCAACACTTGTTTTATTCTAATTTTTTTTTTCCCAGTGTATCTAGAGTATCTGGGGTAATACTAACAGATAATTGTGGTTTCAGACATTTAAGATTAAATCTCCAGTAGTCCTCACAGCAGCGTTTAGTAAATTAAACAAGATTTTCATTTTTCAAATACATTTTGATTTCCCACATGGTCTGCTCTGTTATATTTGTTTCATGCAGCCAACTAATAAAAAAGGAAACAAGCAGCACCACTTTGATGAGCTTTGAAATTAACAAGTCGCACGTGAGGCCGCTCAGTGTTGTCGTTTAAGTTTGTTGTGATGGTGAAAGTGGACTGAAGCAAAGATCTGGGACTTGCAGCAGCGAGCGCCGTCTCAGATCCAGGTCCTTGTTGTTGTGATTGGCTGCGTGGAGGTGACTGGAGAGCGCACGTGAAGCCCTGGCAAAGCGATTCTGGCAGAAGGCATGAAGCGGGTGCCTCTGGTATGCTGACTTGTATGCAGTCAGTGATGGGAGGTGCTGCTTTTCCAGATTGTGCTTTGTATGCTGCAGCGGGCCAAAGTTGGTTGGAAGGACTGTAAAGGAGCAGAGGGAACGTTAATTGCCAAGTTACAGTAGCCATTAATTACACTGGTGACTGGTCATCTAGGCCCACCCGAATTTAATTGTTCATGAGCACAACTGCTGTTGTATTTTGTCCATACAAAATTTAATGTGCTGAAGTACATTTGCACTACACTCATAGCACTGTCATGTAGATGGTTTAATATATAACTGCCCATGGATAATTTGTACCTTCAGACAGTGGTGGCATGACACTTTAAACTCTTACCAGAAGCTGGCCGTTCACACCTTTTGGGCTGCCATGTCAAGCTCTCTGGGTGCCAGGGTTGCAGACTGGGCGAAGCAGTGGTGTGTTTAGTATGACCGTAGCTCTCTTCATACTGCGTGACCAAGTAATGAGACGATGGTGGGTCACAGCGGGCAAATAGCAGCTTGGCTGGAACCCCCTGGAAGACCATGCACAATGGTCTCAACACAGTCCCTAAGCACTGGCCTTCACTGAATTCAGATTTAGAGGGCATGACCTGTTCTTTTGCAGTAATCTTCTAGAGGCTTACCATGAGACAGCAGAAAAATGCTTTAGCTAGTGTCTAAATGCTCACTAAGACTGATGATTTTACACATTTTCAGTAACTGCTGAGTCTGACCAGAAACTTGCTTTCATAAAGATTTCTATCTCAGGCCTTTATCTTGGCCGTCAGTGTTATGCAGAAGTGGCCACAATCTAGAGAAGAGACGCCTGACTTGCTGGGTTGTGACAGGCATTTGATTGGTGTTAATGCTTTGAATGAGCAGTTAAAGGCTGACCTCAGCTCTCAGCAGGGCAGACCTTCTCTCAGACACGTCTGGCTTGAAGTCCCAGTGGGGCCGGTAGTCTGCACGAGTGGTGCTGCTGGCTGTCTTTGGCTCCCGAGTGAACTGTGTCAGACAAAATAAACAGATATCTTAACAAAGGGGCAAGGAGGGGGGCCCATACAGAGACTTGAGCAATGAACCCAGCACAAGGATCAGCAAAGCTCATTCTTCACTATCGATTCCCGCTGTTGTACTGTATTTCTTAAGTAATTTCTCCTCTCAGATCATGAAGCAGCAGCCTGTCAGCAAAACCTCATGTCAGTGCAATTAGACTCTCCCACCAGGAGGCTACGCTGATCTAGGTGAACTGAGGCAGCCTAATCACTTTGCTATAGATTAGACTACCAACTGAGATGCCACAAAACCCTTGGCATGCTGCCACTGATATGGCATTATATTTTGGATCTGCAGCATGAAAAGACACACACTGTGTTCTCATATTCAAATTAAGGTGTATGCTGAGGCAGAACTATTTTGATACTGGTGCCACAATCTAGTCTGCAGTGCATAAGGAGTGTCTGCCCTTTGGTAACCTTTTAGCAAATGCCACATTGTTGTGCAGTAGATTAAAGTAAAATAGGTAATAAGTAGACAAAACACCTACCTGAAGCCTTTCTTCTGCCCAGTTGCCCAGCAGTACTTTGTTTGCATACTTTTGCTCTATTCTCCATCCAGTTTGAGCCCATTTATCCTGCACTATTCCCCTTTGATCCATACTGTTCCTGGTGTCAAACACCTGCTAGGACACGGTTATCAAAACAGGTAGCATGCAGGTGTGTTCACCTGGCTCCATAATGGCATAGGCAGTGGAGGAGAAATAGAAGAGCTCTGTTGCCATGGATACAGCAAACACTGAAAGACAAGGCAAGCAGAGTATCCTGCAAGCAAATGGGACATGTCTTACATCTGTGTTAAAAAGAAATAGGCTCAACATTTACCTTTTGGCAGTATATGCTATATATTGTAAAATTTGTGCCAGACATTGTTTACAGACTTTGGGTCCTCAGGCTACATCTCATTTTTGGAATAAAACAGCTTTTGTTCATTGATTTTTGTCAGTTTTTTACCTTCTGTGAACGGCATACTTTTAATGAAGAGGAACACCCTGCCACTGGAGGCAACATTTGTTTATTAAAATGTAAAGCAACATGGAAAGTAGGATAAAGTGCATTCCTATTTACGATCTTCACAGTGTTTTCACATATTCAGCAACACTATCCACAAGCTGTAGGGCACAGGGAAAGGTGAGCCAGCCCTGGTTAAAATAGTTAATCATGCCATGAAAACCATCCGTCACATGTCGCCAAGTGACGTCTTTTTTTAAGTCCAGCAGCCGTTTCCTGTAGAGAATCCCATCATCCCTCAGGACATCATACTCACAGGTGAGGATGAAGGTGGGTGGGGTTTTCTCAATGACAGCATCGTCTTCCAGTAAAGGTGAAACCTCGGGTTCCAAACCAGCTTTGATTGCGTGATACACCTCCCCATCATATTCTGGGACTGGGTGCTCACAGAAACCCCTTGCAAGGCACTCGGGAGGTAAGTTGGAAGGGGAGAGCCACTTCTTGTAGCGTGGCCTGAGCTCAGTGGGGACGTGGTTGCCTTCCAGCACATCCTGGCACACAGACATGTCCCCATTTAGATACTGCAAGAAGTAGAACGCCATCCGGCCACGAAACAATATGGGCACAGCATGATTTTGCTGGTATGAGGGCAGGTTGAAATCTGCCATCTGCAGGGCTGGGTAGATGAGGACCTGAGCGCAGGGGAACGGCAGATGTCCGTCCTCTCTCCTCGCCAGCCTTTGGCAAAGTGCTGCTGCCAGGTTAGCTCCAGTGCTGTCCCCTCCGACTGCCACTCTGCGAGAGTCCACTCTGAATTCTGCCTCAGCCACAGACAGGAAGTGACATGTCGCGGCCTCGCAATCATCCAGCTGGGCAGGGTACCTGTGTTCAGGGGCTAATCGGTACCTAAGAGAGGTGAGGCAAAATATTCTCACTGTTTGCTTAGACAAAATAGATTTTGGATATTTATGTGCATTGTGGGAAAGGTTTAAGTACCCAACAGAAACAACAGTGGTGTCAGACTCCTTGGCAACGTGTCGGCAGACTTCATCAACAGAATCTGTGCAGAATTAGCAGGGCATCACAATTAACAAAACACATGATATGGGCTGTAACAAGAAGCAACCACACACAGAACAGGATCATTTTGCTACTTATCGTGTGTTCTGGTACATAAATGATGATTTTTACATGTATTGTAAAACTTCTCAATCATGTATGTCGATATATAGCCATTGTAATTTTGAATGTTTTATTTGCAATTGATTGTTTTTCATTTATTTTTCCCAAGTAAATGAGCTGAACATTGTATACCTATACTTCCCAACACCCATCCTCCTCCATGGAAATAAACAAGACCTCTTCTCAAGCCATTACAAACAGTGGTGGGTTCATAGACTCGCACTGGCACCTCAGAAAACTTCAGATCCTTCACCCGCAGGCCGGCAGGAAGTGGATTCAAGCCGGTAAGAAAACAGGCAATGAACCATCTGATAAAGCTGACCTGATGACAAATGCCCATACGATGTAGGATTCGGCCCTAGCGGAAGAGAAACCACAGGCTTTACATATGCTACAAAAAACTGTTTCTGATTGGTAAAGTCAAGGTGAAAGTTATATTCTCTGATAATATTTATTATGACAACATCAAAGACGACCTTGCCTTTCTTGCACCTTTATTAAACCTGATTTCTTATCTAAAATTTCTCTGATCTAAGCTTTATCAGATGTTGGAGGACAAAGAAAGGACAGCCATCTCTGACAAGGGTCTAAAGGTAAGAGCGCTTTTTTATCTTGTACAAGCAGAGGCATTTTCCTTTACACTAAAGAATAACTTAATTAAAACAAAACCGTAACAGATACAAAAACACACACCAAACAAAATATTAAGCACTAACTTCCATAGACAGTGTAGATACTCACCACAACTGCTATGCCAACAGACAAGCCATGAACCAAGTGCAGCTTCCGTCTATTTGTAACCCCACGAGGAATGTCTGAATTCATCAGTTCAGAGTACACAAGTCCAATTACCAGGAGAAGGAAGGCTGCAACAAGAGCAGCGAAGCCAATTATTAAAATCGAAGAGCTGATGTTCATGGTGTTGGTGGCCTGTTCTGAAGGAAAGTCATTAGAAGTCAGTGTTTTATCTACCTGCTTTCAGCCTCTTTCCGCCCCTCCCACATCTATGTGCACTGTGACCTTGGTTTCACTTAATGGCACGTATAGTTGTGTTCTTCAACACATTTATGGCTGTGTAGTCAGAGTAATTACATGATTCCCAAGGTAAAAAAACACTGAACCATTATAGAATATTGCACAAAATAAATGTTTTATTTTAAATTATTCTTACATTCATACTGTACATGTAGTACCCATGAAGATGCCTTCGGGTACTTATCAGTGTTTCTACAAACATCTGAGGGATGTTGGGTTTTTGCCATTTTCTTTCATGTCTGGTATCAAGGGAAATTGTGCTGCTGTGCGGCATTTTTGTTGTCTGGCATCTAAGGAAAGAAAATGTTGAGATGTTCTAAGTGAAGGCAGACTGAAGCCATGCTTATCTGAACTTTTACTGCTGATCTGTAGATGGCAGTGATAGCATGAGTATAAATAAACAGGTCCCTCTAAAATACACTCCATTTACAATTTTGCATTCAGTGTGCTGCTTGAACCCATTTACCACTGTCTCTGCAATCTATAGGATTAGTTTGTTGTCTTGTTTTTGCAGATCCCCTAAATTAAATTTAATTTCACTTCAGCTAAGAATATTTTGGTATAAGCTTCCAGTGCAACTTCACTTAGGGTTAACATTTTGTAAATCACTAAAATGTCACAAATGAAGAGACAGCATCTGGAGTCATGTTGTCTTGTAGATTTTAGCAGCTCCCCAGAGCCTCTCTTCCTTCCCTAAGAAGCTTTGCCCAGCACAAAGCAACCATTGTGAGGCTGCTCTTTAAACCCATCCCAGTTGCTCAAAAAGCCCTGCATTCAGCGATACCCAGTAAAAATCACAGTGCCAGGGCCAAAAATCACAGACTGGAATCTTGTCTGAGGCCCATGAATTCAAAGGATTTGTTTAGGAGCCATTCAAGCAGTTTTCTGTTTGTCACTCTGCCAAGCTTCTGAGACTGGGCTGACCTATTTCCCAAATTGCACCGTCACACACCGAAAGTTGTAGCTTTCTTTAAAAAAAAAAAAAACACAAACAAAAAACTAATTGGATTCAAACAATCGATGTGGCTTTACACATGTGGCACCACTATAAATGTAGAGGCAGACAGAATTTTGTACCTCATCAAACCAACAAACACATGTTCACTCAGTATGATATCTAGCATACTTAGAACGCTGAAGACAATATTTGCTGTCATTTATTACATGAGCTTTAAGGTGTGACCTTTATCTGCATTTTGAGGCCATGAGCTTGTTTGCAGGTTTTCAGCATCGGAATATTGAGGCTGAAAGCACATCAGCAGATTTACAGTCATCATGGAAAGAGAGACACTTAAAACCAGACCAGAATATTTTGAAAGTCATTTTGTACAGATATCTATCTACAGTATCTATCTATTGGGGTGTAAGGCTTACAATTGTCAGGTTTCTTGTATGTTTGTTTAGTGCAGCTGATTGTTTGTTTGCTTTCTTATTTATTTCAGTTAATTAACTGGGGGCTGGAGTGAAGATTAGTTGGTCAGGGCTCTCAGTGATTTGATGAACACCTCAAACACCCCCATTTGATACTTGTATATACAAGAATATTTTTGTTTTTGATTTTGTAGTCTTATAACTGTCAGCAAAACCTGATTGCAACATCTTTGTTATTCTGTATGATATATAAGGAGGTTAAGTTCGAGTCAATAAAATTATGCAGCTAAACTGTCCCAAAAAAAAGATTGGCCACCCACCTGGGACGCAGCAGGGCGACCACAGATTGAGAACCACGCTGAAGACACGTGAAGGGGGTGGGGAAGAGGCAAGTAAGCAACCACTCAGGGCAAACGGGCACTGGAGCAAAATATTCATGCCCACTTAACATGTCAATCAGGATGAATGCCTTTTCAGACCTCCCCTTTAGGTCCATCCAGGTCCTTTCACTAGTGGATGTAACGAAGCAAGGGCAGTGGCGTTATTATATAAGGCAGGACAGGACAAGAACACTACAACAAAGCCCAGCAACGGAGCGTCGCCTGGACTTGTAATTCTGCGTCTCTACCAGAGGTTGACAGGCGTAATGACTGATCAGTCACACGTCTGCGGTTCCTGATGCATGTCGCTTAACATGTCAGAGCTCCTTCAAATCCCACAGTTTAGCTTTTCAAATATTTCTTCGCCGGCGGATTACCCATGCAACACTTTCTGAGGTTGCAGATGATATTGATTACATGCGGACAAACTTTTAGGAGCTCCTAAGTCGCAGTTTCTGAACTCGGTGGTGCCAGTAAACTTCCAGCGTAAACATTGTGCTTCTCAGCTGCGTGTGAGCGCTTTGCGAGATGGAGTGGAAGAACGCGTGTCGCCTGCTTCTTTTCCCACTTCAAATGCTTTATTATATAGTAAGAGCAAGTTTGTGTTCGCTGCTGCCAGGCACAAGGAAGGACCTGACCACGGAGGTGGTGTTGATCACCGGTGGGGGACGAGGCATCGGACGTCACCTGGCCAAAGAATTTGCTAAGCAGGGAGCCAGAAAGGTATCTATAAACAACTTGTTGCGCCCACTTGATTACATGCAAACACATTCACTAATAATTGAAGTTACTTTGTCCAGGGGTGCTGCTGTAGGTTTGCTCTGTGTTGCGCAGCCTGAATACAGCCCCACCCACACAATCACACAAACACAGCCTCAGGTAGCCGGGTCGCTCCTGTCCACCTCGCCTTAAGTGTGCTGCTGTTCTTCTGCTCTATGACAGCAGAGATCATGACCTTTAAGTAGCCTGGTTGGTCCGGTGAGACTGGTGACACTGCCCTCAATTTTGGTTCAGATATTGAACAACACTATGGATCAGTCAGAGGGCAGGTCTGGACAGGCCAATGGACGTGATTAGGTGCAGTAATGGGCAAAGGTCTGTGATGATTCTGGTATGACTGACATGTTTAGAAAAGCCTCTAAAGATTTAAAGGCATTGACCCTGTGTACGTGTGTGTGTGTGTGTGTGTGTGCGCACAAAGCCACACTGAAGCTGCATCAAATCCATTTACATAACAGCTTTGCTATTAGCCTATGGTAGTTCCTTGCTGGTTATGAGCAGTCGTTGCCAGCATATCACAACACAACGAGGCTTTTAATAAAATCCAGATTAGGTTTTGTTGTTAAGTGAAGCGTGAGGACAGTAGATGCCTTTTTATGAAGTGTTTGTAAAACCAAATAAATTCAAGAAAAAGGATCAGGGAAGAACAGATTGTATCATCTTGGATTAGTCCAATGCAAAGGTCAGAAATATGCCATTGTAGTATGAGACTGAAGTTATGTTACATCACTGTGCCTCCCCGCTGGATGTTAAGGTGGATTTTCCATGTCTATTGTGTTTTGATTGCTCTGTAAAATAGTCAACTGTTTAAAATCCTGCTTGATAGATTTTAAAGGTAAGGGGATCCAAGAGGAATCTAATTATGCCACAATGTTATGTTGCAAATCAGTATTATCTGTGGAAATAGATTTAAAAGAAACATGTACATCCCTCCCTATTTGGGTGGACCACTCCACCCATCTAAACCACGCACCCTCCCCTCTCCACCCACCCTTGCCATCCCTCACCCTCTAACTAGGAGCCGTCACTTTGGCTTCCAGTGGCTACACAGACGGTGTGTCATCGCTGCAGGTCAGGCTCACCTCTGTTTCCAGCTACATTTTGTCTACCAATCCAGCTGGTGAACAGTACACGGCCGAGTGCCCGATGAGCTGCTGGTGTCTGCTTGGCAGTAATGTCTTAATACAGAGCAGCTCTATTTTTGATCACCTCGGATGGGAGTCATTACATATGGAAGAAAGTGGTGGTAACTTCCCTAGGAGAATGTGTGCAGCAGCTGAAAGCTGCGGGTTGTAATTATCCGTACATGTGTGACACAGGCTCCAGATCTTGGATGCTCTCTTAAGGTGCAATTTTAGCTTCTTGAAAACACTCCTAAAAGCTCGATGAAACACTGTCTCCCTCTGTCTTTCAATGCTATCTCCTCGGGGAATGAGCAAGAAGAAACCAGTGGGTTTTAAAGCTTTACTTTGCAGCTGCACAACAAAGGATGTCACCATGCATTTCAGCACCCCATTGTTGGGTATTATCAAGGTGTGAAAGCTTTGAAAACAACACCTGTGGTAATGTGTATGACAATTACTCCCTGCCTAAAGAGATGCTAAAAGGAAATAGGACGGTAATTATGAACAGGACTAAGCTCTATGAACTTGCGCTCACCCCAGTTTGAGCCTCTTTGTGATTGGCAGCCGGAATTTTGTTTTCCCTCTGCTTTGGTGTTTTCACTGTGTAACGAAGACTAACTACAGCGTTGATGAAAGAATCCTGTAAGATGGAGAGCTGGGGACTCAGGAGGGGAGCCAGGTCTTCCTGTGTGCTGTGAGGGGGGAACCGTTGCAGAATGAAGCTCAGAAACAATAAACCAGACCAAAGTAATTTCTAAAACGGCATCCAAGTTCAGAGCACTGTGACAGGGGTTTCAGAACAATCCCAGTAAATAGTTGACAACTTCAAACAACATATATTTTAAAGCCTATTTCCAAGTATTTTACAGTCTTCTAACAACAACCCCAGAAAAAAAGTGATTGCAGAAGACATTGATTTTTATATGGTTAACATTACTTAAAGAGCTCACTGCAAGGAAGATGAAGCAAACCGAGACACTGACAACAGGTTGGTGTGTGTGTTGTGTTGGAGGCGGGAAGCACATCGCTCCCAGCTGGGTATTGCCCTGCAACTGACCTTGCTGTCTCCGCAGTAATTAGACAGCAACAGGCGACTGCCTCCTGAACTCCTGCTGCCCCCTCTCTGTGCTGCCTCTCTGCTGGCCCATACAATGGGTGTGAAAAGGAGGGTTCATACCTACCCATACATTCAGACCTGAGAGATCGAGTATCACTGTAATTCAGCTGGAGCTACTTGGGTCACAGAGATGTACACCTCAGCCGGTATTGAGTGGCATCCACACTCTCTCTCTCTCAAGGTCTTGTTTCAAGCTACGCAACATTAATTTGTTGATTGGAGAGCTTTTACTTCCAGCATATGTTGACGTTGAGTCTTGTTAGGCATGCCTAGTTAGAACAATCAATGGATTATCACTGATAGCGAAGGACGCATGTGCTGGGTCAATTAAAATTGGTTTCATACTGTTTTTATCTAGATAGCAATTTGGCCAATGCTTGTTTGTTCTGAGGGTCCCGTGTGCTGTGATGGTGATAAACTTAATTAATTAAATAACAGTTTAACAGGAGGCCACACTTTGTGTGCTGACTTTTCATGAGAGCTGTCAGCTTTGTTTGTAAGATTCAAAACCTATTAAAAGCTTTCGGTTATTTATCAAGGCCTGTCTGCCTTCGCTGATTACTCAAATGGACTTGCAAATGAAGCAAACAAAACACCCAATCACAAGCAACTCCATCAAGGACTGTTCGCAGAGGGAGCTGAACCCCATCTGATAAAGAAATAACGACCACATTTCAGCCTGTAATCCTTGATGTCCCTCATATTTCCACCATGATTACTATTACTGACATATGAACACTGCAGGATTTTTATTTTATTTTTTTTAACGTACCGTATTTGCCGGCATGTTGCATTTAGCTCTAGACAAATCCTGGCACTGTCTGAAAGTATCTTATTACTGCAAGAAAAGCTCAGTTCAGACAGTGATTATCTAAAGCATGGATCCCTTAAAAGTAGCAACATACTAAATCTCTACATCAGAATTTATTACTCTGCAGATACGTGTTACCATTCATAAAAAGCAGAAAAAAGCAGAAGATGTTCTATATGTTTATATATAATTCTCTGTGTTCACCTAATCATACCTGTCTTTCATGTCAAGACTAATAAATTATTATACTGTGAACCCACCCTGACAGACACACACTCTTTTGTGTGTATATGCATACATGCAGTCTCCCTGTCTCTCACATGCACAAGATCACTTTCCAGAGGATTTTTTTTGATCAAATATTAACCTTTGTCACAGGCAGCCAGCCAAATCCCATACTTCACACAGGAATTTTTAGAAATGACGGGGCTCATCTGCCCAACAGGCCGTGTAATCTCTTGGAGAATTTGTGTTTGAGAGATGAGGAGGGCTCACCCCCTGATTTCATTACCTTTCCCTGACCCCAGAGACTGACAGATCTAATTGCCCAATCACTAGTCCCCCACCTCCATCCAAGCCCATGTTCCCTGCTCAAATGACTGGCCTTCATTTAGCCTCCAGAGGATGAAGAGACAGTTCATTCACACAGCAACCCCCGAGCCTTTAATCTTGTTTGAAAACTGTTTGTTGGAGTGAAAATGGCCTCTCTGTTCTCCGGATGAAAAGAGCATTGCTGCACTTTCTCCCGGTCTCTTTGCCAGAAAAATTGCAGAAAACGTACGTAATGTTTTAACTGACTCTTTCATTTATAAGTAACAGTTTACTCAGTGTGTCTCTGATCTTATCACAGCTTCAGTGCAGAACGTTCTCTGCTGATTTCTAACCTCTGAGCACGGTGTGTTTTGCCAGGTGATCTTGTGGGGCCGAACAGAGAAGTGTCTCAAAGAAACGGCTGAAGAGATCTCTCTCTCAGGAACAGAGTGCCATTACTTCCTGTGTGATGTGGCCAACCGGGAGGAAGTTTACAAGCAAGCCAAGGTGGTTAGAGAAAAGGTACGCCAGCCATCCCCATAAACACAAGGAGAAATGCAGTGAAACGCTTCATAAAATATCTCTCTATGATGTCTCTTTGTCTTAGCTTTATATATATTGGCCCTAAGCTGCTCTGTCCCCCATCTGGTGAATAGATTACACTTCATCTGAAGCATCTGACTGAGAGTGGGGAATATATTGCTGACAGCTCTGGTGCAGCACAACCTTCTCCTCTCACGAACGCATACAGAAAATGCACAAGATGTCCGACTGCCTTCTTTTTTCTCATACTCTCATTGTGCTTTTTAATCTCAGGTGGGAGATGTTACGATATTAGTGAACAACGCAGCTGTAGTCCACGGCAAAAGTCTGATGGACAGTGATGACGACTCCCTTCTGAAATCCCAACATATCAACACCATGGGACAGTTCTGGGTAAGACTTGCAGAAATGGTTCTCATGCAGATGTAGGGGAATTCCTCCTTACAGATCATCCTTACCATTCTCAGATTTTGATTAGAACATGACAGTACAGTAGGCAGCCCCAGACGTGTCAATCATGAGTGCTATTATGGCAGAGTACATTGGGTATTTCCAAATTGACTCTCAGCCCCTGAAACATCAGAGCACTTTGGAAACTCAAGGAATTTATATTTTGAATGGAGATCAAAAGCCTGTGTCATTCGTAGACAGAAATGCAATTATCAGCTAAATGGAATTGGAAATTTAATCTCTTGTTACAGTGTGGGCCTGTTTCTCTTGTCAGTTCTTTTTATTCTGCTGAATGTAGTTCACCTTCTGTTCCTTCCATGTTGTCTTTATTCTCCTGTTCATTCTTCCTTTTTTTTCCTCCCCATCTCAGACTACAAAAGCCTTTTTGCCTCGAATGCTGGAGCTGCAGCATGGCCATGTAGTGTGCATAAACTCCATCCTGTCCCAGTCTCCTATTCCTGGGGCCATAGACTACTGCACGTCCAAGGCCTCATCGCTGGCCTTCATGGAGAGCCTGACACTGGGCCTGCTGGACTGTCCTGGTGTTGGCTGCACCACAGTACTTCCCTTCCACACCAATACAGAGATGTTCCAGGGCATGAGAGTCAGGTGAGAACCTACCTAGCCGTGGGAAGCCGTGTATCCTTCTCGCATTGGATAATAATATTACCTATTTAGGAATATCAAGATACTATTTGTAATTGGTTTTTATTTTTTGACATTTGTGGTTCTAGACATGTCATTCACTCAACAACTGATAGATGGATTGAGATATTCTGTAAAGTAATTCTTTGTAATTATTTTTTTAATTCCCTTAAGCATTGAACTTGTTGACCTTAGGGATCCTCAGATTTTTTTCCTCTGTGTATCGAGGTGGTTGATGTTTGTGGTTCAGAGTGAATCATCTTGATGATGGAGGATGGATTGTTCAGATGGACAGTACAGAAATTTGCCCAGGCATTAATGGTCACCAGAAAACAATGAATCCTACTGATGCAGATGATCTGCTGGCATTTCTGCTTTAATGAGATACTCCCTGTTGTATCATAATGAAAGACTGTCACAGTGCTGGAAACCTCCCAAGTTTGAGTTTCTTGATTTTGTGCAACCCTCTTGCTGTGTTTTTACATACTGATGACACTAAACCTTGATATTTTGGAACATTTCTGATACGGCTGAGCTGTGACACAGAATGTTCTTGTACAGGTGTATGAGTAAACCCACTCTTTTCCGTTGTTGTATGTTACTTTATAAAAACAACAGAAACATCTACTGTAATGAACGGTTTAGCTACAGTTTGCCATAAAAAGCATGTACAAGCTGAAGTAGGTTTTGTTTGCACTGTATTTTCAAATTAAAATGTCCACCATGGGCTTGTTATGAGTGATGGATACGCCTTGAAAATACATCAACTTATCCAGAATATCTAAAAAAAAAAAAACTACGACCTTTTGCCTGCAGGTTTCCCCACCTCTTTCCACCTCTCAAGCCTGAGGTAGTTGCCCAGAGGACTGTGGATGCAGTCAGGGCTGAAAAGGCCTTTCTCTACCTGCCCTGGACTATGCATATCCTTGTCATTCTAAAAAGGTAAATGGTTTTCATGTAATCATTTTTTTTGTTTTGGTCTCATTTTCAGCTCCATAATTTTTTCTTCATGTTTTAACATTTCATCCCTGATCTTCATGTATGTTTTAGCTTCATGCCACAAGTTGCACTTGAAGAAATCCACAAGTTTTCTGGGACTTACACCTGCATGAACACGTTCAAAGGGAGAACGTGAACTTGGATTTCACAAAACGGGAGAATGACCTCAACAGCGTTGGGGTATACTGAAGGAAATATGGACCTTACGATGTCTGGAAATGGGCGAGGCCCTATGACAGTGTGAGGACAAATACTTAGGGGACTGTCACGGTGGGGTTGCCTCTGCCAGTAGAATTACCTGATAAACTGCAGGATACATCCTGGTCCCATTTGTATATGTTTAAGTGCATATGTATATAGTACAGAGGACTGAATGCCATTCTTAATTTGAACAGAAGCCATGCATAGTCCTGTACCAGTAGTTATTCCAGGTTTTTCTGACACTAGCTTTAGTCTGTTTTTACACTTGATTTTTTTTTTTTTTTAAATCTGCTTGTTAATGTCTTTGAATCAGAACAAGGTAATAAAATGGAGTTTTAGAATCAAATAGTGTTCTTGTGTGCATGATGAAAATAGAAAAAGTGAACATTTGGGAGGTACACATTGTTTTTTGTCTGGGTTTTGACTCCTATTGCAGTGTGATAACACCTTTTGATTTATTCCAAGCCTGAGATCAGTGACTGTGAGCGACAATGTTGTCAAAACATAAAACACACTTGGGGGGGATGGTGGTGGCATGTGTGTTCTTGTTTGTTCTCTGCTGTCAGAAAATGGTCCAGGGGGATGATGTACTGTAATTCTTCATAAACATAATGAACTCAAAGCAAGTTGGTCAGGACCTGCCCCCCCTTATGCAGTGGAAAGAGCCACATTCAGTGAACACAGGCAGAGAATGAGTTATTTGATTAGGAAACAACAATTGTTTTAAGGTCATAGTTATGAAAGTTAATGGTCATTTTATACAAACCTATGTTATGAAGATGATATATTAAATTAGGTTTTGTTATATACGCTCATACTGGCTTATGATCTCTGCAACTGCACACTGTTGTATGCTAACTGAATGTGATTAGCAAAACCCCAGAGGCATAATCCAGAAATAACTGGACAATATGGAGCCTTTTTTTGGTTTATTGTATATGAATTTGAGCATGTTCCCTGGCTTTGGAACAATACAGAGGGCTTCAATACCAGAACCTCATAATTACCTTTTGCTCCCTAAAACTGTGAAAAAGCCTAGCTTAGTAGATAATTACAAAGAACTGTCAAAAAAAAATTTAAATGCAGGTCTGTACCATAGGGGAATTTGCAATGAGCGTCTGATTTCACTATAGTGGCTGATGAGCACCTTCTACCAAAGAGGAGAAACTGAGCTGTAATCTCATCTTAATATGGAATGAAGGCCTGTATCGGTAACCACCAACTTCCAGTATTTTTTTTTTTTTTTTTTTTTTAATGGTCTTGTTTGCTTTCTTGTCAATACCACATTCTGTCTTTACAGTAAATATTTTCTACAGCCAGCGGTTGATTAGCTTGGGTCAGCATAAAGACATGAAAGCTAACAAAATCTGCCTACCTTTAGAGGTGATGAGAATGGTGTTGATCATCTCATCCAACTCTTTGAAAGATGAGCTGAAATACTGGTATTTCCATAAATATAGAACTATTACAACTATTTAAGTGAAATGTCTGCAGGAACACCACAGCACCTTGCACATTTAACTGCCCATGACAGTAATGTTAAGGTGACCCTTCCCAACCGAAGGGTCGGAGGTTTGAATCTCGGTGCCTGCAGTCCACATGTCGAAGTGTCCTTGGGCAAGACACTGAACCCCCAAATTGCCCCCGAAGGTTAGAGCCATCCGTGCGAGTTGGCACCGCAGATGGCTGCCTTGGTTCTGTACCAGAAACAAATTCCTTGTGTGTAACCTACTTGGCCAAATAAAGGTGATTATCCTTATTTTAGAAAAACTGTCATAAAATAAGCAACACACCACAATATGCATAAAATCTCCTGTAAAAAATGTACTTTTTAAAACAATCAGAACAGGGCATTTGTCTCAGTCCCTGTAACCTCAAACAATATAGCACTGCTTGGCACGTGGACTATTGATTAAAAATCAGTGTGTTTTTGAGAATCAATACAGTATTGCAAAATGTAATAGTGATACTCGATGTATCTATTTTCTTACACCCCTATTTTTTAGGATATATAGTGGTGTTTTTTTAGGATAGGACTTATAGAAATATCTTTTTTACTTTTGTGTAAAAACTTTGTGACTATTGCTCCAGAAAGGTGCTATTTAAATAAACTTTACTTACTTGTAAACATACTGTAAATATCTGCATGTCTGGAGAAAAAGTCCACATCTGAGCCAAAAGCATTCTTCCAGTTTCCCACCATGCATGTACAGTAGTCAGCACCCTAACAACACTTGCAGACTTTCTGTGACTTACACAGTTGACACACTGAAACTCCAACAGGTCAGTACAATATCTTTCACACCTTGAGGTACTGGTGCCTTTACTGCATTTTGATTTTCAGTTATTGTGGTGTGCTTGTTTGTCAAGCTTAGATTCAGGTTCGGGCAATTCCATATAGACTTGAGACACCTGAGCAATATTTTCTATTTTATATTTTCTCCTTTTGTGGAACCTTAGTTACACAAGAAGACTGATGAGTCATTGAGCAACTGAAAGACCGGAGTGTGCACCACCTCATTTTCTCCAAATGTCTGCAGTTACTGAACAAAGCCATTCCGACAAGAAGCTGCTGTCGTTGCAGTTCTGTGACACCTGTAATTTGGAGTTTAGTCATCTGTCTAGGTCATTCTGAAAAATAATGATGAGATCAAAATGAAACCAAAATGAAAAGATGAATAATAAGGTTAAGGACAGTACTGTTGTTTTTCACATCACGGATGGTACTGACAGTGATAGTGAAACTGAACAGGGCTAAAATCTGACCACCCTGAGGTTTATAATGGAAGAAAGAGCTGTAGTAAAAATGACAATACCTCAATCAGCTGCACTTTCTTAACCTCGTGTTTTTTAATAAACTAAAACTCTTTATGATGGCTAATCTGTCCATGTTTGAATTAGGAAAACATACAGATACAAATGGTGAAGTGTACTGTTCAGTATAGTGTTGCGTTTAGTAAGATGATCATCGGTCTACACTAGAAGTCTCTACATTTTTTTTCTTTTGCACAACACTAAATGGCAGTCAGTGTTATATGGCAAAAAACTGTTTAGCTTTCACACATTTGATAGACAGTTTGGTGCTGACTTGACACAAAACACCCACAATCTGCCTCCTTTTTTCCAGCCCCCAGTAACTCCATTCTTCTTTATTTGCTTACATAGATATTTTGATTATTCCTCCCGAGACTGTAACCGTTTAGATCTGAGCAAAGAGTAATGTTCAGTGAAAATGCAACAGAGCACAAATCTGTGCTTATCTGTAGCCAGTGCTTTTCCTTCCTTACTGTGAGGTTAATCATAAAGTCAATACTCTTAACGTGGAAGAGAATATGTGCAGCATGGCAACAAATAGAAGAATATCTACTAAATAGAAGTGATAACACAGAAGGGATACAAGTTGAATGTGACTATCAGCTTTAAACCAACACAGACATGGCATGCTATACACAAAGCTCTTGCTGCCTTGAAAGTAATGCCTCAACTCCTAGCAACACACACATGAAGGGATATGGAGATCACAGACCCAGACACAGAGAGACACCCCATATCTGAGAGCAAGTCAAAGCAAGCACACACAACTTGAAGGCAAACCTATGAGAGTGGCTGTAAAATCTGGGATAGTGGCTGCCCTTTGACTGCCAGACAAGGCTCATAAACGTTCATCTGAATCCCAGTGAACCCTAAATGCCCTCCTGTGCACTCACGATAGGGCCGCACACTGTGATCAGTAGGTGACCTGCGCTGGGTGGGGAGGGGAGGGGGACGGGCTCTGCCGAGAGTGAATTCGAGCCTCCTGCAAGGGCCTGTTTCTCATTCTCTGAGTGGGCTGTTGATGTAGTGCACGTATGCTGCAAGAGGAGGGCTAAAATGGTTGGAAATCTCATGGGGCAGGTTCAGAGCAGGGTTAGCCAAATACTGAATAAATCAAATGAGGCTTGGAAAGTCTTTTGCCTGCAGAAGGCTCTCAACTCCAGGGTGAGTGACCAGGTGCAGGTGGAAGTAGAGGGCTTAAGGTTCGGTCACATGGGGAGAAATCGGAGAGTGTAGCTGTCTCAGCTGTGGCCACATTCCCAGGTGTCTGCGCTGGCCATGTCAGTTGTATTTCAGACTATGCTGTGAAAAGATGTGATTAGAGGTCAACAAGCATCGTTTGTCTCTCCCAGTATGGTTAATTTACAAAGAATGTGCTGTGAATTGAATCATCACCTTTGATACTGACCACAAATACTGTATGTTTAAATGCAGCTTTATCTTAAATGTTTATTAGCCATCATTAGCTCTCACTTCCCCTAATGAATGCCAGAGAATTTCCCTTGTCTATACTTTACAAGAGACCCCGAGTGTATTTTTCCTATATGTAGTCCAAACATTTGTAATCCCAACACGAGAGGTTGGAAAGTCTGCCTCCAATGATCCATTAACTATGTTATAGGCGCCCGGATCTGGAGTCCATTTGGCTTGTTGTGCAGTGATGTTGAATGCATTTAAAACCTCAGCCAGTGCAGGATTTTGTCATTATTCACATCACATACACTTAAGGAGCCAGTGACTCCCAGTTTCCTGGCAGATAGCTCACTGTGACTTTGAAGCTCAGTATTCCAAAAAAAATCATCTCCACTTTCATTTTTACATTCATTTGATTAGTTTAAAGTGCAAAAAACTGTCCTTTATAAATACCATAATTTTTGTCAATTGTGTGCTGAATAGATAATGTGGAATAATAGATATACCCTTGGTCTGCACTAACACACTCAGCACAAGTGCCATCAGCAACTGAGAAGTGGACTATTATCTGTAATAAACCCCATAAGTCTGTGTGCTTTTGGACCAGTAGATGCTGCCTGAAGGTAATAGCTGAATGAGCTTAAAGCCAGGAGCAGCGAGAAGGTATTGGAGTTCAGCGAGGTGTTATTTGTTACAACGCCTTATCCGCTTTCTTTGAGCAACGCTGTTAGCACTCTCCCCGGTTTGTTGCTGTGTTCATCCATCACAGGCTAGATAGCATGATTAAAAAGGCTCATCCCTAACCCACAGCAAGGGGCCAGCCGTGACGCCTCAGTTGACCTGTCAAACCGTAAGAGTTATTATACACTGTGGTGTTAAAGGTCAAAGGGAGCAGCAAGCTCAGAGGGTGTCAGTCCTCAAACACACACACACCATGCTGTGTTTTCATTCCTTGTGGGGACTTTACATTGAATTACATACATTTCCTGTAGACTTATCCTAACCTTAACCATAACCACTACTTGCCTAACCCTCACCCTGACCCTAATACTTAACCTAACACCTAACCTTAAACCATGCTGCCACCCTAAAATTTGTGTAAACAGGTTTCAGTCCCCATAATATAACTAATACAAAGGCGCACAAACAAACTCAGTAGACAATGAATGAATAAGATGTGTAAGACATCAGCGTCTCTGTCTGTAGCATCGATACTGTTTACACATTTAGACAGATAGCTGCAGGCAGCACTGGCAGAGATGATTTTCAAGCAAACAAACATTTTGAGCATGTTTAAACATTCAGTCACTTCAGCCACTGCTGGCCATTTTAAAGGATGCAGCCGATACAGGTTGACGCCCTGTACAGATGCATTAGGTGGATGGAGGTGTAGTTCTACAACACAAAGTCAAACACTGGGTGGCTGGGGCATAACTCTGCAGCACACAACATCCCTGGAAAAGTGGCTTACTGGCAGTAACGCATTTTAAAAATTAATGGTCTCCTTTTTAATTAATCTGTTTGCAATTTTGAAATTAAAAGCGACAAACATACATAGTTTTTGTTACAAGGCCTGTCACACATTTCTAAAGGAAAGAAGTCGCCTATTCAATTCTGATCTTCCTGAGCTCCTATATAACATAAAAAAAAATCCCTCTAGGTCATTCACCTACGCTGTAAAACCAAGAGAGATCTGTTTCACATGTGGTTTCCAGTGTTCTGCTTTTGAACACTGACAGTTAACAGGGAGAAAGTGGGAGGTAAGCACTGAGGGACAAACAAAGCAAAGTAAAGCCTGCTTTTCACCGCAAGCAGAAGGCAAACACTCAAAGGGGAAGGGTGTGGGAGGGTGAAACACAGTTCACATTGCGCGGATGGGCTCAGGATATTTATAAAGCCCACCAGGCATCACGTCAGGATAGCTCTACAGAAAAATGTTGTTCCCAGATGGACTTCTTCAGCCAGATTTATTTATTACAGAGCAGCTTCCTCATAGATTACACAACAGTGTCACAGCACGGGCGAACTCTGTGGCTTGGTGTCTGTTGCCAACAGCTTGCCTTGCTCAAGGTGAATCAGATGCGGGTCAGATGGAGGGCAACGTCCTCTCAGCACCACCATCTGAAGAACAGAGCAGATATTAGGAGGTTATACAACCTTTTTAATGTGCCTTGGCTCATCCCGAAGTGAGACAGGAGCTGTGTAAGTCACAGACTTACTAAACCACAGAAACACTGATAAGACTGACAGGAATAAAAATAGATATCAGGTGTAATACATATCAGGTATATTTTCTTGGCTTATGTAAAATAGCTCTCAGCTAAGATGCTCTTTTAGAGTTCTCTTGGCACAGAAGCTTTCGCTCTATCACAGGACTATATTACACAGACAAAGGCTTCCCAAACCCACAGCCTACAGAAAGTCATGTGGCCAGAGTTGGCGGCATCTGTGAACTACACCTGAACTTAGCTAAATGAAAACAGACCAAACACAGAGTGTGCGTCAGGATGAAAGCATCTCCCTGGAGAACTGTTACTGAGGGTTCGTAGAGAGGAAGTGGGTCATCAAGCAGAGCAGAAGAGCTGAAAAGCACTTTCAGTGTTTGAGTCAGCATAGGGCTTAGTTATGTGTCTGAGCCAAAATCTTATCTCATTCTTAATTTTATTAATGTAGAGGTTATGGTTCCTTGTTATACTGATTTTTAGATGTTTTTCCATGTGTACTTCCTTCATATCTGCAACATCAAACATACAGTAGGTCAGAGGAATAAATAGGCTAGAACTTCCAAGTGAATGAAAACGTAATCACTGTGATCATATTGCTGTGTAAACTCTCTCTGGGTATGTTTTCCTCTCAGTGGACAGGCTCAGGATTTTTCAAGCTGGTTTTAAAACCATGCTGATGTGCCCATATGTATGTGAGAATAGGTCTTAGTCGCTGTAACTTTCCTACTCTCCCCATTGGCCCTGAAGGTTTACACATGGAATGCGACTTTGCTATAAAAAAAAAAAGAGGACCAAATACACAGTCTTTGTTGTGTGTAAAAATACACTCCAAAGTTTATCTGAAGCTCAAATGAAGGTGGAGGGATACATTCTAAAGGGCTAGACATGCTCTGTGCGTACCCTCATGCGTACATGAGGGACACATGCTTTCCTATTCATACATTTATACAAATTGAGGGTCTGCCTTCTGTCATCTAAGATGCCAGTCCGTGCGGACCGTCTGCATGGACAACTTCTGGCCATACACAAACATCCGTACAGAATCCAATTGGACCCTCACAGACCTGGGAAGATGACAAAAGTGACATCAATTGTCCATAGAGCACATGCAGGCCCTTTAATAGTCGTGTAAATTTATTGTTAGCTGGTGTGTATTTCTCAATACACACCAGCTCGAAGTGTGCTCGAAGTAAACTTGGAAGTGAGTTTGCAGATTTCATAGCTGGAGTTTTTTTTTTTTGTTGTTGTTGCAGTGTGTGGTTTTGGGACATCAGTTAAACCTGCTCTGAACCTGGATTACATTTTGCATGTGTAACATCTCCGCTCCATCTTTTTCTCCTGTTTATTGCTGCCTCATCTGCACTTTATATGCAGTAGAATATATAGAAGTTCGTTGTCAGTGTTTGCCCAGGGTGTTCTGAAAAAACAAAGTGAAAAAACAGTTCCACAGATTTCACCTAAGAGATCCTGGAAAGACCAACCGGTGAATAATCGTAGTCTAAACAGACATAAATACACTGTTTGCCAAGCTGAGAGAGTTAGAACTTACTTTGAAAAATAGGAGAGGTGCTGTGAGAGAAACTCTGCAGAGCACAGCTGTGTTAACACCAAATGAGCTAACAGCAGCTGATGAGGGGGAACATGCAAATAAATACATACCCTGTTATTTATCAACCAAACTAAATGTAAATGTGGAAGAGAGTGTTCCTAAAAAGGCAGCAGTGCTGCAAGTCAGCAGGTCACCTACAGTGCAACAGTGACATTGACTCAGCTTTATAGAAACCACTATTGGTGTATGCCAGCATACCGTATATCCGAGGCGCATGCTACAGTATGATAATCAAGAGAGGTGGAGATATTGATTATGCATTTATGTAAGTAAAAAGGCCAGTTCTGGTAACAGAACTTACACGCTGCTACTACAAGGTATCCCTCCGCCAGGGACACAAAGAGGGGAAATAGTCTTAAATAGATTATAACTATGAAAAACTTGAATTAGCTTAGTGAGAAAGCTGAAGCCAAATTTGAGCCTCAGACAAATTTTGGAGTGTATTTTTACACAGAACAAGGCCCTCATTATTTTACAGCATAGTCACGTTCCATGTATAAACCTTCAGGGCCAGAGTAGACAATAAGACAAATTAAAATGACTCAAACCTATTCTCATGTACAAATGGGCTGTCTACATTGTTTTAAGGCCAACTTGAAAAATCCTGAACCTAAAGCTAATTACTAATAGGAGAATTGCAAAAAAAAATTACTTAACATTCTTAAAATTGAGACATCTTTAACAAAAACATCCAGTTCAGTTAAAAGGGAGCAGAGGGTGTGGGAGGCAAAACCACAGCAGCCGTCCTCCCTACACAGTACACATTACCTGCAGATGGGTGTGTGTGTTTAGCACTTGTATGTTGTCCAAATACTGTGAATACTCCAGAGAGAGAGGGAGAGGAATAGCCAGTTTGTGTCTGTACCCTTCACACAGAAGCCAGGAAGAGTAATTGCCTGCTCAACACCTCAGAGGTGAAAGGTTGCCTGGGAACGCAGGGGGTGGTCGCACGACTCTCTGTAATTAGCCAGCAAAAGGACAAATGAGTCTCCCACCAGATCACTGTGAGCACATCACAGTGAAGGCTTTACAAGGCATTATCGTGGCTTCTTGGAGATCCCGATTACATGATCGGCTGCTCCTGAAATGAGAATAGAAATATTTTGGGAAAAGAATTGCTGTGCATGGTTTCAGCTGTTTTGTCTGATCTTCGGAGCACTTGTTTTGCATAATAAGTTATGTAATTCACACAGATAAGAAGCTATTTATTCAGACAGCTTTGAGTGGCAAACCAGTTTGAATAGGTTTAATACTCTTGTTTGGAGAGATGTGCAACACAGCTGCCCTCAATGGGACATGACTGGGTTTGGTACTTGTAAGTGATGAAAACTACATAGTGGCCTGTTTTCAATTGTCACAAAGCCTCAAGTCTAAGAGCTGCAATTTTGTACAATTTGTTAATTAGACAGTTCTACCATATATGGCAAATAGACAGGCTGAGACGTACGTCTCCTGTTAAATTAGACTGGGTTTCATATAACAGAATAATCAGAACTGCCCGCCCCCTTCCCTGCCACTGCTCTGCTGCCGGGCTCAGATGAGCCAGACTGGACTGAGATTGAACTGAGCCGAGGGATTCTAACATCTGGCTTGTATCTACAGCTTACGGTCATTTGGATGCGGTTGATGGTTTCCAGTAGAGCCACAAAGACTGAATTGTTCTGGGTTTGGGCCTTGTCTGCCTTGGACTTGGAGGCTGTGATGCTCTGGCGCCTGACTGCCACAGCTGGGCCTGTCTGTCAAATCCTCATGTGACACACAAGACTGAGTTATCCCCAGCGTGAGAATGAGAGAAACTGGGGTGGTCACCACATGACTGGAGGAACTTTGCTGAAATGTGAGAACATACAGTATATTAGGGCTAAATCACCACAATAATTATATATATTTAAAAAGTCTTCTACTTTTCACAGCTTTTTACTATATGAACTAATGTATATGAAATCAATATACAGAACTCTTTCAGGGACCAAGAGATGACAAACAACTGCCTCAGTCAGCTAAACCACATGCTGGTACCTCTCCTCCCCCACCAAAGTCCCACATTGCACTGCAAGTTTGACAATTGGGTTCAACACCAGGTCAAGCTCTGGGTTTGACAATGGGCCAACCAGTCTTCAATGGGAGTAAAGCAGACAGCTTTCCCACAAAGAGCTCACTCACACAGAGGGGATTCTGGCTTAGTGGCCTCTCCTATTTAAGCCACACAGACTGGAATTAAGGAAAATCTTTCTCAATGTTTTACAGTGTTACTGGTGCTGCCGCTAGTGTTGTTGGATGCTATGGATGCTATCAGTTAACGTCTCAGTGGTTCACTAAATCTCTGCGTTCCAAGAGGCGAGTCTTTCCGCTTTTCCTTCTGCGTGTTTATTTTGTCCATGTCTGCTCTAGATAAACACTGCTTGCACTGACATGAAAACAGTATGCCGCTGTGCATGTACAGATAGTCTGCAAGACTTCAGTCCAGGCTAGAAGACTGATCATAGTTTAAACAAATTGTATGTTTCACAAGTGCGTCTGTGTTTGTCTGTTGTAGCTTTTCATCTTTGTGCATGCATGTGTGTAATGATACACGTGAGTTTTTCTGTGTTGCTGTGTATATGCTGGTGTATGGCTGGAGAGCACTGACTGAGGGACATGGATCTTGCACACTGAGTGTGTGAACTCTGGCTGAACCCCAGGGTGTACTGTTTCAGGCACGCTCTGACAACCTCGCCCCAATGACCCGGCTCGCGACTGCACAGTTCACGGGGAGGTCCTCTACTCACGCACAGCCACCCCCTCCTCCCACTCCCTGATCCCCTCTCTGTTCCCCCTGCTCCCTCCTTCACCTCTCCACTCTACCCTCCCTCTCCTCTCAACTTCTCTCTGTCTCTCCCTTCATGCTGTTTTTTCACAACCCCTCCTGCTTTCCCTTCTCTCTCTATTTCTATCATGCTGTTGTCAACAAGACAGAAACTGTCTGCTAGCATCTTGGAGAGACAGATCCCACAGACCTGCCAATGGAGAAGAGAATATCTTCAAATACCAGACTCGAACGTCCTTATCAGGCTTGTGGAATGAGTTCCCTTTGTGGATAAATAAAATGTTCCTTGACACAGAATCAGCAGTTTGGAAAATTAACAACAAGATTTATTCAGATATCATCTTGAGGACTGAAAGGTATTAAAACATTGCTAAATACAAAAATGTTTGCTTATGTGTACAGGTACTCAAGCGCAATTTGAAGCACTTATTTCTATTCCACTGCATTTATTTAACATAACTACGACATTAACATACTGCTTATGTGTTACAAAAACTGAACCCCTAACACAGTAACACACACTGACAGGGGTCATTTTGCACAATGAGTACTTTTTCTTTTGATACATGAAGTACATTTGTTACTACCTCTGTACTCTGTAACCTAGCACAAGAAGACAGGGCAGTCTTTTAGGGCAGTCTATAAAGCGGTATTGCTATGTTACTTATTAAATTACTATAATACTTCTTCCACCACTGATTGAGTTGTATATGGGAACTTTACCTCCCTGCCTCTCTCTCTGTGTTTGGTTTCTCAGTCACTGCACGTCTTTTTGTTGTAGTTTTTTTTTTCTTCCAAGAATTACTTAAAATTATTAAACTTTATATTAAATCCAGTTTCCTTGTGCTGTTGATTATTTACTCTTGAGTGGGTTCATTAGCCAGACATACTGTGGCAACATTCAGGATGTAGAAGAACTGGTATGAAAACCTTTCTGAACTATGTCTATTAAAATAATGTGCAGGCATGATGCATTATCAATCAGCCCTGTAATCTGAAGTGCAAATTTTCAGCAGATTAAAAACAAAATTCAAAGATATGTTAGACAGATATGTGGGTGAAAGGTGAGAAATGACCAATGCAGTATTGTTTATAATGTTTTCATTGAGTCTCATTAACATAAATGCAAACAAAAATACTTCATCAGTCAGTTAAAGTGAATCGCAGTGACTGTAATTCATCTCCAAGCAAAGAACAGAAGGCTTGATGTTGACTCAACCTGCTCTGGATAGCATTACAATGTTTGTTCCTCAGTCAGTGAGTCACAACATAGCCCTCAGTGATTTTGATCATGTAGCCTGGGAAATATGATAATTCAGTGTGTATTTCAGTACTATTGTGCACAAACGGACCTATGACGGACTAGCTCAGGCTTGTAGTTTAAAGTGGCTATTGTATAGTAATAAAGGTGAAAAGTTGAGGTAATGCGTCATTAAAATGTCTTCAATATAAAATGTACAGAGTGAAAACAAGCTACTAGGCATGTCTCTGTCAGGTTGACTTGTACTTACTTGTGGCCACCTGATGTGATAGTCAATAAACAAACACTTCATAAATTTAGAAAGTATTCCATCTCTATCAATGTGTGTCTTGTGCCGTGTTATAGGCCTTCAAATGTCTCCTTGCTGATCACCCCACCAGTCATCTCATTAACTCCCTGCCAACCTCTCCCTAACCCCTGGTACAGGCTTTACTCTTGACATTATGGGAGGGACCACTTATCCACTCAAAGGACCCATGCTGTGCTGCCTGTGCAAACTGCCTGATTAGTTGGCCACCCCTGACTTGCTGTTTGGTCTGTGAGTGTTGAATGATAGATTCTCTCATTTGTCTTTTTCAAAAGTCTTTACACACTTCTGCTCCATCTGCAGGGTTAGAACATCCACCTGGTACTTGTGAATAAAATGTTTATACATGAACAGGCATTTCTGAAGTCAGAATGCTCTGAGTGAGCACCAAAGGGCTTTTTATGGTACATACAGGGAACTAGAAAAATAAACTGCTTTCAATTTCTCTTATATTACTTGATTTCACTTTCATCAAGACAGTGTTTTCTCTGTGTGACTGCACAGTTTAGTTTTCACATTGCAGAGCTGTTTCTGTGTCCAGTGAGAATAGTAACACAAGCCTTTACAAAGGCACACAGGGATGAGAGCTCTAAAAACAAACCTTAATCTGACTGTCAGAAAAATATTTATTGGTGAAGGTGGCTCTCCTCACCCTCCAGCCCCCGGAATGACCTCCGTTTACCCAGGGCATACCCCCGTTCCTCACACACCCCACAGAACTCCTGCTGGAAATGGGTTTGTGTTACAGGGCCCCTGGGGGTTCCCAGCAGGGGCTGGAGGCCGTCAAGAGCAGGCCCCTTAGCCATGGACAGCTCCTCTGCTCTCGCAGAGTCAGCGAGGGAAAGACCTGAACTTGGATTGACCCCACCAAGCAAAGTCCCCGATGGGTTCATCCACAGGCCACAGCTCCGGTTCCCCCTCACCCCTAAACCTTCCTGCTCTTCTCTTTTTTTGGACCTGTTTCTCTTGTTTTGGACCTGTTTTTCCAACTAGGCCAATACATAGTCCAGAAAAGTATCACCCCCCAGTCCCCCCCCACCCCTTCCTGCTTCGCATCCTCCCTTCCTCCCTCTGCAACACCATCAACCTCCCTCCCCCCAACACTCCCTCTTGTACAGAGTCACCTAGTTAACTCTTCTTTTCTCCTCTCTCACAAACAGGAAAGGCCTTTAAAGTTTATGGCTTCAGATGCTTCCTCCTTTTTACACCTGCCATCCCAGTGAGTTGGGAGTGTGGAAACATGATGTAGGTGTTTGTGCTTCTGTGACCTACAGAGAAAGAAAGAGTCTGCCATTGACTTAAAACTACCTATTCTGAACCATTTTTATCTGCTTATACTTTAGTATTTTTATTTTTATGCTACTTTACACATATTCTTCCCTGCTGAAACCAGCTTTCAGTAAAACAATAAATCAATGTGATGTTACTTATCAAATCATTCACAGAGATTTAGATGAGATAGAGATCTGATATTTAATAGTCCACATTTGATTGTCCTGTTATTTTGTTCTATAATTTTAATTAGGTTCTTATGAATAACTTCTCTTGGGTTGATTTTTGATTTATATAATTTACGTAGGTGGTTGGGGGGCAGACACAGTCTCTATGGGGTACTGGGAGTTTTGGGTGGGTAGGAGCTGCAGAGAGATGCAGAGAGGTGTGTAAGACTGCAACCCTACATCCTGGTCTCAGTTCTGGGTTATCATAATTTAGGTTATAAAATAAACTCGTCCAGATTTCTAGATATGAGAGCCGCACCATCCAAAGTGGGATGGATGCCATCTCTACTAATCAAACCAGGTCTTCCCCCAAAAAACAGTCAGCTGAAAGACGCTAGGAGGTAGCTGCAGAACTGGTGATAATCCTTTGCAGGTTTGCTGCTACAAGGAACCTCTTTCACATAACAGATGAGTGTGTTATTGTATTTTATTGTTAATATTAGAATATTGATTAGTGCAAGACAACTATAATATTATACAACAGAACAGAAATTACTAATGGCATGAGCAGATTATTGCAAACACTGAATCACTGAATACTCAGCAGGTAGACAAGACAAGATTTTTGCCATTTCAAATGTAGGTACCTCAGCATTGCCTGTACTTTACTACTATTGGTATGAACCTATAACAATTTCCTTGAGCCACCCAGAAGATAAATCTGTTACATTACTTCTCTATTTTGCTATTTTTAGGAGTTCCACTAAATATTGTGAGTCAGTGTGTCACCAAGAGGAATTCCTATGCACTTATTGTGTATGGGGACTGATGTTCATCACTTCTGACTCTGAACTCTTCACTGCTGCTGTGGCATTAAAAGCAGTGGACTTTTCCACTCATCCTGAATCTGTGTGAGGTCAGAGCAGAGCAGCTGGCAGAGAAACAGATATTAGTACTGCTACTATAAAGGCTTAAAGAGGGACAAGGCTCCAGAGGCACTGGCAAGTCTTGTCCTATGAAACTTGCATAAAAAAAGTCTATAACATCCAATATTCTCACCTTAGTTGTTCACCATTTATGATACCAGCAGGGGGCCTTGATGGATTTAGAGGTAATTGGATTTCAATTAAATTCTATGGTGAGGAATTTTAACATGGAAAGGAAATTTACTGGCACAGTCTTTTCTTTTTCCCACTCAGAAATGTGGCAAAGCGTGGGTGTTTTTATCTTGGATTCATTATTTTGTAGGATTAATTTTAATGTAAATCAGCCTGCGTTTGGCAGTCAGGATCGGATCACAAACAAGAGCACTTAAATGAGAACAGCACCATGCTGCACAAGGAGCACGCCATGTAACTATACAATCGCTGGTACGTCTGTGGAAATGTGATGCCTTTGCACCCCCATGTGGCACAGTAATACTGTTACACCATTGTTGAAGATTTAGTGTGGTTTTCAAGGGAGCTGTTCTCCTTGATGATCCTGATTTTGATTTATTATTTTGTAATATTTGATGAAAACCTTTAGGAATATTGGCATTAATGTCATTGGACTCTCTGCTGTTACTGATAGAGTTATGAAATAAAAACATAAGTTTGAAGCTCCAGCATGCATCAATACTTGGTGTCAAACAGTCCATTTGTGAAGAAGTGACTCTTACTCAAAGACAGAAACTGAAGAACTGCAAGACACAGGCTGGTGATTGAGCTGCCACGGAGGTGTAAAATATAGAACCACTCCATTAATAACACTTTTTTATAAACTCACAGCATATTTGAGTTTTTATAGCATTTACAATTGTTTCCTCCAGTGAACAGGAAAATGTGTTCTTATGGGCTGTTTTAAAAACCTTTTATAGTAGTTCCATACTCTCAGAAATACTTTTATTGCCTATGTTTCTAATTTAGTCTTCAAGAAAAAGCTCAGTCTTATCCTTCTGGGTTCTTATGTTAAGAACAGGTTTGTCCCCAATACTTCGATCTGTGTTATAGATGCTTTAAAGACATAAGGAAAAGATTATAGCAATTTGATTATTCAAAGAATATTTTAGGAATGGAATGTACATTTACAGCAGTGTATGGCATCACAGTCTAATAGAAATGTGCACATGAAAATCTGTTAAAACTGGTCACTGATGGTGAAAGCACCATTCAGTTGTCCTTATAATGATGACGCATTTGTCTAAATAAACAAATTCAAATTAACTTGAATGTAACTGGTCATATGAATTATGTTAACTATTACAAATAAAGGGTAAAAAGTCATTTGTAACAGCGAGAAAAACTTTGGGAGTCACCCAATCTACTTACCCTGAGGTTGTTCTTGCATGAGAGAAGGGAGATCACAGATCTATAGTGAGTTGATGGAAAAGGATGATACTTTAATCTCAGCCGGATCTCAGCAAAGATAAAGGGTACACTGAAGAGAAAGAAAAGGATTATAGTCTTTTCTGACAGCTGACTTCATGACTTTTGATGTTCTGAAGGAAGAAACACGCAAGAGGAAAAACTGCTCAGACTAGAGTAAATAGTACAAGTGTATATCTAGGATGATTTACAGTAGGTTAAGAGTCCACTGTATATATTATCATTCTTAATTGTGTAACCTTTCCAAAAAAAAATCTAGTCAAAAATAAATAATTTACACAATGTTAAAAGATACTGGAAAAATATTGGCCTCCAAAGCAAAAAGAAAACATGTTAACCTAACGTTTTCCAAGATTAACAACAAAATCATAGGCTTTGAAATAGCAGACACTTATTGTAATGTATATGACAGAAACATGACATGGAAACATGTTACTGAGGTGAACCCAGCATCACTGGCTTTATTCAGAGTTCTGTGAATGAAGCCTTCTCTTTGGTCTCCAAACGAGTAGCAAGAACATTAAATCACGAATACAACATTATCAGACTTTTGTTTTGATAAATGCTGTTTTGGAATAAGCAATTTAGTGCAAGGCTTTCAATGTGCATTAACACAGTGTAATATTGTTTATGTCTTTGACACTCTTTTGGGTTGAAGTGATTTATTACCACTGCTGGTGAATGGTACGATTTTCAACAACTTTCAAAGAACTGAGTTTCTTCTCTTCACTCCCCTTTCCCCTCATCTGCTTGAACCCTTACTTCCTTTGGTCCTCTCATGGTGGCTGCCTCACCTCTGTTAGCATAAGCATACAGTCTAAAGACGGTGCCGCAAACATGGATGGATGATGTTTAACGACTTGTGAATATTTTTGACCGTGTTACCGGTCAGGCCTCCTCCTCAAGAACTTATGGTGAACGTGTTTGTGACATGGGAAGCTATGGAAGCCCATTCCCGCCAGTTACTCCGACTTAGCTAAGTCGAAATTCCGACATAGCTAAGTAGAAATAATAACTTAAGTAAATCTAAGTAGAAATTCTAACTTAGCTATGTCAGAATTTTGACTTAGCTAAGTCAGAATAACTACATAGCTAAATCGAAATTCCGACTTATAAATGTCGAAATTCCTACATAGCTCAAAGTATCTTGACGTAAGCCTGTCAAGCGGAAGTAGTTATTCTTTTTCCTGTTTGGTTGTTTTTGGCGCGGAGACAGAGAGCTGCAGCACCCTTTACCGTAGCGTAGCGTGCACTGGATAACAAACAGCCATTGGAATTCACTCAAAACGGACCCACGCCTGAAATAATCTTCAGTTATTCCATCCATCTGAACTGTGTGGTGTGAAAGGTGCTGTAGCGTTAGCTCTCCGTCTCCGCGACAAAACACGAAGAAGAATAACTACTTCCGGTTGACAGGCTTACGTATATTGTAATGACCCCCGGCGTGGAGGAGAGAGACTACCTATACTTTGAGCAGCTAAACTAGCTAGCAGGGCGCTAGCACCTATGCTGTCAATTAGTGCCTACTCCAGGTCCCATACACCGCACGACTCTGGGTAGCACTTGGGCGTGTCCTTCATAATGACTACCATGCAACTCTGTCTTTCTGGTCATTTATTTAGAACACAGAACCGCTCCACACATCACATTCCCAACAGGGTCAGTTTTACACATACAGCTTAGACTTACGGTTCAACAACACAGCACTCAACCAGCTAGCAAAACATTAACACATACAAGTCATCAAGATAAACACAACAGGGTAACACATTAGAACATTTTAACACACTTTAACAACTGTTCTCTGAACTCATCATTGAACTCCCATGATGCCCCCCATGCATCATGTCGCTGCCACCAGACCCCTCCCCAATAGCCGACGTAGGTCGCCACAATATGCTTCTCCTGGTCGGAAAAGTTACAGTGGTTAGCTTTAAAAAAATGTCTATATGAGCTTTCGGTGCAGTACATGAAGCCAAATATGTTATCTGAGACGCAGCAGGATGAAGACCCTGTTCGAGTTTTCTTCACCACAGCCGAGCTAGCCCTAAGGCTGCTACGTCTAGCTGCTAGCCCTAAAGCTGCAACCTATAGG